GTGGAGAGGGGGTCCTGGGCCTACCACACAGATCTGAACGCTGGCTCCCCACCAATAGTTCTCACTCACTGTCTGTCCAGAGGAGGGCAGTGGAGGGTCTTTGGGTCTCTAGAAAAGGAGATGTTGGAAAGCTCAGGATGGTGAGGGTGAGCAAGGCCCCTGACGCAAAGAGGCCCTTGGTCCTCACAGGCTTGACCTCAGGCAGGGCTCCTGGAGCAGTGCTGTGTACCTGGGCAGGGAGGGGGCTGGCAGCTGCCCACCTGCATTCCAAAGGTGCCACAGATCCTAGCCAGGCGGCCAGGAAAAGGACCTGGGGCTGACCCTTATCACCCAGTTCAGAGAGACTTGTATCTTTTTGCCTCAGGTAGCCCAGCCCTGCCAGCCTGTCTGGCCATCTCAATTTTGGGGGACCTACCAGGCTTATAGCCCTGGGCCTGGCCTCCACTCCCGGGGATCTGCTGGAAGGCTGGGGTGGTCAGGGAAGAGGTGGGGCCATCATACACATTAGTGTACAGAGATATTGCAGGTTTGGTTCCAGACCACCGCAACAAAACAAATATCACAATAAAGAGAGTCAAATGAATTTTTTTTTGGTTTCCTACCGCATATAAAAGTTATGTTTACACTATACTGTAGTCTGTTAAGTGTGTAATAGCATTATGTCTAAAAAAACAATGTACATACCTTAATTAAAAATATTTTATTGCTAAAAAGTGCTAATCATCATCTGAGCTTTCAGTGAGTCATAGTCTTTTTGCTGGAGGGTCTTGTCTCGATGTTGATGGCTGCTGACTGGTCAGGGTGGTGGTTGCTGGAGGTTGGGGGGGGCCGTGGCAATTTTTTTAAATTAGACAATGAAATTTACCACATCAATTGACTCTTCCTTTCACGAACAAGATTGTGACATCCCCAAGTCTGTGGCTCCTTGAGGTCGGGGACTCTATCTGATTCAGCATTGTGTCTGGCACTAAGTAAGGGCTAAGTGAATGAATGAATGATGAATATTGTACAGGACACCAAGCCAGCATCACTGTTGCTGTTGGAGGCCTGCAGTGGGCTTTAGCTGGATCAGTAAGAGTTTGTCCCGGGCTACTCCAGAGCTAAGTTTGAAGAGCCAGGAAGCTGCTGTTGCTGGTTCAAGCTCTAAGCTGCCCCTTCCTGCACCCACACAGCCCCCCAACATTGACCAGTTTGTGGTTTAGAAGAAGAGGGATGAGAAGCTACTCAGAGTCAGCCCAGATTTCTGGGGACAGTGCCTGGCTCCTGGGACTCAGCTTGGCTGTCCTTAAGACCAGGAGAGGGGCCAGACTCGTTAATGAGAAGCTGCTCAGCAGCACCATTCTTGGGACCGCATCCAAAGTAACCTTCCTCCTCCCCCTCCATGTTACATGGCTGGGGACAGTGAACCGACAGAACTGAGGGCTCAGCGCCATCTGCTGGCCACAGAGAAGACCTACTTGCTCAGAAAATCAGGACCACTGGTCCCAGTCTTTCCACTAAGAGACCTCCTAGCCTTAAGGCTTAGGTCGGGGAGGAGCTAGAAAGTTCCGGGCATGGAGGGAGCTGCTGAACTCAACAAGGAAGGAAAGCCAAGCCACCATCTTCCTGAATTTCTAGTGAAACGGAATTTCTAGTCTGGAAAAACTAGCCCACTAGCCATACTGGAAACCATAGGTCTGATGCCTATGAATTTGGCATCTCCAGCCAGTTACTGCAAGGCCCACATGTTACCCCTGAAGGTGGCCCTCTGGCCTTTCTCCTGGAGAGGACACACCCAGCTTCTACAAGACCCACTTTCTCTGCCCAGGTGGCATCCTTCCAGCTCTGTCCTAAACTTGAGATCCTCCCCAACATCCTTCCCTAGGGAGCTTGTGGTGAGGAGTCAAGTAGCCCCTGGCTCCCCACAGCTCTCTGGGCTCACCTCTGAGGTCTCCCCAGTTTCAGGTATCAGACACCCTATGTTGTATGAAGACACAAATTCTGCATGTCAAAGTCATGCTGACCCGAGATCAGGACAGGTCTAAAGCACAAGAGATCTGTTCCAGCTTGAAAGGAGCTCAGAAAAGGCAGAGTGATGGGGTTAAAGTCAGAATTGGGTTCTAGAGCGTGGATTTGTTGCACTAGAATCAAGATTACTGGCATCCTCTCTGCCATGTCCACCTGCCTGGGGCACTGTATATACCTTCATGGAAAGGGAAGAAGGTGCTACCTACACCCTCCCCTATTTCCACTCTGGGAAGGCCCCACTCTGGATTGATATGAAAAGTAGGCTACCTAGACGGGCCAGCTTGCATACAAGGAATGCAGACTTCTGCCTTTCCCTTGACCTTGTGTCCTTCTGGGCACTGATACCAATGAGCGGAACAGGTAATTCAAAGTACTATGCAACTATGTAATTTATTTCTTTCACTGGGAGAAACAACGGGTCAACAGCACACAAAGCCCTCTTCAGCTCTCATGAGTCACATGCCTCTACTTCATGAAGCTATCATTTTTTGCGGCACAGTATGTCCCAAACTCCTCCTCCCCAGACCGTCGGCACTCAAGGTGAAGTAAACAGACCAGGTAGCCCTGCCTCTGTGTATTCTTTGCTTCGTTTCATCAATTCCAGCTTTTCTCACGATGCCATCATTGTTGGGGAAGAGAAGTTACTCCCAAGAGAAGTAAATGCAATACAGTTCTGACCGAGACTTTCACTGGTTGTCAAATTCCTACTGTCCTTGATCTCCCATCCAACTTGGAAGTAGAATGAAAATCATCCTATATTCTGCCTCTTTTGTGCCCCTTTTGGTCTCTGAAGGTCTGACCAGCATACTCATTTCTGAGCTTAGTAACTCCTTAATGTACTTTTTTTCCACATCATAGATTCCTTTACAATCAATAATGTCCATTCTACAATCCCCATTTTACATCTAATGTTTTACCTTCCTATTAAAAAACCTCATTTGTCATTTTCCCACCTAATTTTATTTTTCCCTTATATTACTTTATTGCTCTATTATAATCTCTACAAAATTATAATTTCTTTTAAAATCTCGACTGCCTTACTCCTTGTTCAAGGGGTGTCATTCTTTTTGAATCTCTTTCAATGACTGTAGCAGCTTTGAACTACCTCATCTGTTTCACAGTTCTAACTGTTGCCCTGTTCTTCCTTCCAGATCTCCACTTTATGAGATTCCTTGTCTCCTCTAATGATATGATATAGTCTTGAAATAGGCACCAACTAAACTGATGCTGCAATCCCCAGTGGCGCCACTAGAGGCCACTCTAAACCACCCTCAGGTGGGAGCTCAGCTATGGAGAGTCCTCTCTTTAAGCCAAGAGTCTTCCATGTTAGTTATGCCCATGAATGAACTCACTGAGCCCCCCTTGCTGCTGAGTGACCTAAAAACTGTTTTCAGGGTCATTACTTCAACTTTCAGTAGAGATGTGAACAGGGCTTCTCTGCCCCACAAAGATCCTGAAATACAACTGCACATCCCTTGATAACTACATTCAGAACCACACTATATCTTACCTATGACTAACACCTGGCATGACACTCCCCACAGCCCTGTCAGCCTGTCCTGAATGCGGTGCCTGCACACAGGTCCACTTAGGAATAGCATCAGCTATTCCTTGGTTCAGTTACAGAAAATGAGGCAATGGTCAAACACACCAACCAACAGGTCCTCCCCTAAGAACAGACAAGAACAGTATAGAGTGAGCCTCTCCTCTAGACCTAATGATCCAGTTCATCCTTCACACCCCAACCCCACCCTGGATCTTCCTTGGTAGTATGGCATATTGGTTAAAAATCCAAGCTCTACTCTTTACGAGCCATGAGACCCTAGACAAGTCACTTATCTCCTCTAAGAATAACTCAGAGATATTAAAAGTGCACCTGCATACTTTTAATCTTCTATGAGCACGTATAGGTGGATCTCAACGAACCAAGAAGTAGAATTTGAAATGGAAACAGGCCACAGTCTAGAAACAGTAAGTGTTACTTTTGGGGGAGGAGTATAATTGACATACAATATATCAGTTTCAGGTGTACATGATCCAGTAGTTGTATATATTGCAAAATATCACCACAATAAGTCTAGTTAACATCTGTCACTATAGTTACAAAAATATTTTCTTAAAAGTTTTTCTAAACATTTTTAAGATTTATTCTTAGTAACTTTCAAATATGCATTATAGCATTATTAACTATAAGCACCATGGTGTACATTACATCCCCATAATTTATTTTATAACCAGAAGTTTGTAACTTTTGACCACCTTCACCCATTTCATCCACCCCACTCCACCCTTGGCACCCACCATTGTGCTGTTATCTACGAGCTTGGGTTTTTGTTTTTGTTTTTAGATTCCACATGTGAGATCATATGGTATTTGTCTTACTCTGACTTACTTCATTTAGCATTATACCCTCAAGGTCCCTCTGTGTTGGTGCAAATGACAAGGTTTCATTCTTTTTTTAATGGATGAATAAAATTCCACTATATTCCTATATATATATATGTATGTATGTATATGTATATGTATATGTATACGTACACACACACACACACACACACACACACATATATATTTCATTATATATTTTATCACACAGTCTCACATTTTCTTTATCCATCAATGGACACTTGGTTCCATATCTTGGTTATTGTAAATAATGCTTCACTGAACATAGGAGTATCTATCTTTTAGAGTTAGTGTTTTCATATTTTTCAGGTAAATACCCAGAAGTCTAATTACTGGATCACATGGTAGTTTTTTTTTAATTTTTTTGAGGAACTTCCATTCTGTTTTCCATAGTGGCTACTAGCAATTTACATTCCCATCAATATAGTGCACTAGGGTTCCCTTTTCTCCACATCCTTGCCAATACCTGTTGCTTCATGTCTTTTTGATACTAGCCATTCTGACAGGTGTGAGGTAATATGTCATTGTGGTTTTGATTTCCCTGATGATGAGTGATGTTGAGCACCTTTTTCATGTGTCTTTTGGCCATCTGTATGTCTTCTTTGGGAAGTGTTGCTTTTTTTTTCTTGGATAAGTCGACTGGCAGGAGGCTATCAAAGAAGGCAGCTTGAACAGTCTGCTCTTGAGCAAGCCATCTAAGCCACCGGGAAAAGTAATTTCAGTTACAGACGCATTCACTGAGAGACCTTGTTGTCTCTGCTGTTTCTGGGTAAAAACTTCCGATTTTCTTCTAGTGGTTCCCCCATCAGAATAAGCCATGAATGCATCATAATGAAAGCACCTCATTATAGTTCTTCAGTCTCTCTTGTGTCAATCTGGGTATTCCGAGAATAAGCTTTCAAGATGGAGAATAAGGCATTTGTTTGACGTAGTACCTGTAAAAGATAAAGGAGAGAGGACACATGAGTATGTAGGCAGAGCCTTTAGGCCGTGGTGCAGGTGTAATATCTGTAAAGGGAGGAAGAAGGGAGGATTGGGTAGCAAGAGCCCCAGACTACAATGCAAATCTGAGAGAGTCTCCAGGGAGCTACAAAGACTCCTGCATTCCTCAGCTCTTTTCTGGGGCTGCCCAGGGAAAGCATGGCACAGGCTTGTATACTGAAGCAGGTCCCTGATAGGCCACAGCTGGAGCATGTTGGCTGAGTACCCTCCATAGCAGGCTCTCTCTAAGAGGTCTCAGCAGCACATCCCCATAGCAACCACACTTGCTAGTCAAAACTCAACTTCTTGAAGAGTTGTATCGGTTAGCTTTTGCTGTGTAAAATCCAGCCTAAAACACAGTGGCTTTGAAAAAAAAAAAAAAAGATGTATGTATTTCTCAAGCATTTCAGAGTTGGCTCTGTTGAGTGGGAGTTGTGGGCCATCATCTGAGCTAGACTGGCCTCTACTAGCACAACTAGCTCTAACTTCCGGTGTCCCTTGGCCCCCAACAGACTCATTTGGATGCATCCTCCTCTTACTAATATCAGAAGCACCAAAGAAAGCAAAACCTAGATTTAGAACTGGCACTCCTTCACTTTGGCATCATTCTACCGACCAAAGCTAGTCACAAGGTTGAGCCCAATGTTAAGGGGCAGCCCATCATTGGAGGACACTACAAAATTACATGGCAAAGTACATGGATGTGAGGAAGGGTAAAGGCTTGGAGCCAAAACTGCAAACCACCACAGAATCCAGGCTAAAGTCTCTTTTTTAATAAATATCACTGGCAAATGTGAGGTTATCATGATAGCACCTAGATTATCAGAAGCCAGAGGAAGGCAAGAAATAGAACATTCACAAGTATCACAAGAAACATTTGAAAACCACTTTATATCTAATTGTGTCATTGGCCTAGGTCCCAACAGAAGAATAAATCCCATGAATCAGTCAGCAAATTTTAGATGAACAAATAGCTTTTTTTCTTAATTAACTGATCATTGTACTTTTCCTAAGGCATTTATAATGAGATGTATTAGCTATTGCACAAATTCTGTCTTGGCAGGTCCATAAATAACTGAAGGCAATTTTATTATATAGAACCATTTTAACCAACATGTTTACACTGGTCTCTTGGGCCTCTGCAGTCTGAGTTGTTTTATTTGCTATTTGGGGCAGAGTCAGGGATAAACATGTTAGAAAACATGTTCTAGTTTGGAAACATTTAGGGAGGGTTAGAAATCCCTGGTTAAACCAATGAAATCTGGTGATAAGTTACCCCACTGAGCTATTAACAAAATATGAGCACCTGGGAAAAGGAATTCTTACCTCTGAGGCACTGTTTCTATGTGTGAGAACAACACTGCAGCCCATATATGGTTCAAAACCTGGTCTGAATCAAAAAGGTCAGGTTTGATACAGTGAAACTGGTATATTATGAAGAGGCAGAGGGGCTTTATGCTGTATCTCCCCAGAGTCATAAACCACCACATGGAGATCAGAAAAGAAAGTTCATCAATGGAACATCAGAAAAAGCCACACACACACACACACCAGGACGCCTGGGTGGCTCAGTTGGTTAGGTGTCTGCCTTCGGCTCAGGTCATGATCCCAGTGTCCTGGGATCAAGCCCTGCATCGGGCTCCTTGCTCAGCGGGGAGTCTGCTTCTTCCTCTCCACTCCCCCTGCTTGTGTTCTCTCTCTATCTCTATCTCTCTGTGTCAAATAAATAAAAAAAAAATCTTTAAAAAAGAAAAAGCCACCTACCACAAACACACACCACACTTAGAATACCCCCATATCAATCCTAAGAACTCCTTAACAGTGTCCACTGGCAATAATCCCTGAACTCCCAAAACCAACTCCAAAACACAGGGCTAAACTTTGCTTTGGAGCCACTTACCTGTTTCCAAAAAATAGATAAAATCAGTATGATTACGAAGATTATTCCAGCACAGAGAAAAATGTACTTCAGAGTACAAGGTGACTTCTCAGATTCTGCAGAAAGAAAGAAAAAAAGAACATTAAGAAGAAACCTCCTGGCCAGAGCCAGAGACCATACAACCACTGCTAGGATCTGTGGTTGTATGTCATTTTTCCTGTCCCTGTGACCATCTTGGCACCCTCCATTCCTATCACATACACCTCACCCATCAAACAGCGTGTTTAGCACTTGCCAGAATACACCGCAATATCAAACACCACATAGCACACACATGCCATGCAACGTATAAAGCTTCCAAACTACTACACCATCTTACTGCTATAGAGTGAACGTGTGTGCCCCTCAAAATTCATATACTGAAATTCTAGTGCCCACTGTGATGGTATTAGGAGGTGATTAAGTCAGGAGGGTGGAGGCCCTCGTGAATGGATTTAGTGCCCTTAGGCCCTAGGGCCATCCCTCATCCCTTCCACCATGTGAGGATAAATAAGAAGTCTGCAACCCAGAAGAGGGTCCTCACCCAACCATGCTGGCACAATGATCACAAACGTTCACCTCCGGAACTGTGAAAGATAAAGTTCTGTTGTTTTTAAGCCACCCAATCTGTAGCAAATTGTTATAGCAGCCTGAATGGACTAAAACATACATATAACCCAGACAAATCCCTCATACTATACACACAAGGCATATTTCAATTTCATACTCCCCATGCCCTACACATACTCTGTACCCACCTCTTTTCACACCACCCACACACATTCCTAGCCCTTACTTCCAAGAACAATTCTTCTCTCCTTCCAGGACCACCCTGGATACCCAGACCACATCCCCCAGGGCCTGTGGTCAGACCCTGCCTTTTTTAACCCCTCTCAGCTCCAGGCAGATGCATTAGACTAGCAGGGTCACACCCATCCAGGACCATAGCCATGACCATGGGAACCCAGGTATGAGCTCCACGAACCTCATCTCACCAGCAGGAGGGATTCTATAGTGACCTGTAGATCTTAAGCTAAGCATCCCATGTCCCTGGGGAAAGTCCTGGGCATCTGCAAGATCACCCTGCTATGGCGTCCCCATCTTGGGTACAACCCGTAAGACAGAACAACGGATTCAGCCGCTACCAGCCAACAGTTTGCAGTGGACCTGGGGCCCGAGCAGAAGAGTTACTGGCGGGGCTGGGTCACTGGCCCCTGACAGACTCTTATCTTCAGAGGACATGGACAGGATCCCATCCCCTCTCTGCTGGTAGCTAGCAAGCTTCCCACTTCAAGCCATGCAGACCACCCAGATCACTTAAACTGCCAAAAGTAGACCTATTTCCACCTGAGGACTATTGTCACCACTCTCCACCAACTAGACCACCTGCCCTGGCTCAGATACTTAGTCCGGACTGCTGACTCTGGGGCTGAGCTATGCCAGACCAAGCTTTCTATCTTCCCCGCTGTCCCCTGTCTTCCCCGAGACTGCCTGGAAACCAAAGTTTTATGTTACCCAACCTTAAGGTGAGGAGCAGGGGAAATGTTCAGGAGGCTGCTTACCTATCATAGTCAAGGAGAAGTTGAGCCTCTGGGAGGTAGGCAAGGATTCGTGCCATACCACACACTGGTAGATGGTCATGTTGTCTTCCAGAGAGGGCTTTAGCATCAAGAAGCTAGTGACATTAAACATGCCGTCCTCATTTTTGGTGGTACGATTAGTGAAGACGCCCTCAGAAAACTCCACATACTGGGGATTCTTCGGGGTCCACTTTTTCCATGTTACAGTAATGTTCGTGGGGTAGAATCCACTTGCCATACACGAAATAAGTTGTTCTTCATTTTCTTTCACCATGGCTTGCTCTGGAAACAAGCTGCTGACTGGGTAAGCTGCCAAGAGAGAGAAGTCATGTTTCGAAGATAGGTAGGGACTAATTTATTATCAGCCCAATGCAAGCCTTCAGGAAAGGTGAGCATATTGAATGGGATTCTGCTTAGGCTAAATATTCTAGGTATGTTGGTTTCAGTGTCAGCTGATATGCTGTGGCCCCCTACTCTCACAGCAATTTTATAGAGCAGAGTTTCTTAAGCTACTCTGTATCATACATAGACACCTCTGAGAATCTGAGGAAAGCCTTGGAACACTGTTGTGGAGTAGAGCGTGGAGTAGAGACTACTAATGGCCAATTTCCATTCTTCAGTGACATATCCAAGTTAAAGCTACATCTCTCTCTACCTCCATGTAGCCATGTATACTTAGGGTCTCATCGTTTAGATGTAATCAGAAATGATGAGAGCAACTTCCAGGAAGTATCCTTAAATAACAAGCATGTCTTAAAGAAAACGACTGTGCCCTACTCTCCTCTCCCCCGCCTCCTCTTTCCTGCAGAATAGCTGGAATAGCACTTGACGGCTAGAGATGGAGAAGCCACTTCCAAACATAAGATGGCAGCTATGGGTTGAGAATGGCAAAGTGATAAGATAAAAGGATCCTAGGTGCCCTATGGTCACAGAACTGCCATAGCTGCCTTGGGTTGGCTACATTTGTGTAAAAGACAATAAACTCCCCTTTTTTAAAGCCATCGTTGACTTCTGGTTTCCCTTCTGACATGTAAAGACCCTGGAAGTCATAAGAAGAAAAAAGCTGAGCTGAACAAACTATAAATAAACAAGTTTTCTTAGATCCATGAGAGAATTAAGGTGACAGGGCAAACCAGCACCCCAAAAACTAGAGAGACAGGCAGACTGACAGAATCACAGCCAAGATCATGTCACCTTAAGCAGATGCCAGAGCCATAAACCAGTAGAAGCACTTAAGCAGTAACTCTTACAAATTGCTAAAGGATGAGCATGGACTAGCTTGACAGGAAGAAACTTCTGGGGGCCCAGTCTTATGGGGGTTACCACACTTTCATGGGTTTTACTGCCAGGAAACACACACTGGTTCTCACAGTGAAGATTCAAGAAAAATTCCCTCCTATTTTCAGGGGAGAGGAAAAGTAACTAAAAATATACCCAGTGCATTAACCACAACAAAGGATGCTCAAGAGAAAAGACTTTGCCAGAGCCTTCTCCAACCTGGGTAAAGGATGGTTAGCCAACTCTAGCCCCCTCTAGCCTTCTGGTCTCACCTATAAAAGCTTCTGAAGGTCACAGCCTCAGCCACAGGCTCAGGGGACTTCAAGAATGAGATTTAATGGTAAGACTGACTGCTACCCGGGGCGTCTGGGTGGCTCAGTCGTTGAGCGTCTGCCTTCGGCTCAGGTCATGATCCCAGGGTCCTGGGTTCAAGCCCCGTATCGGGCTCCCTGCTCAGTGGGAGGCCTGCTTCTCCCTCTCTCACTCTCCGAGCTTGTGTTCCCTCTCTCGCTGTGTCTCTCTGTGTCAAATAAATAAAATCTTTAAAAAAAAAAAAAAAAAAAAGACTGACGGCTTCCCCTCTGCAACCCTTTATCACCACAGCAACAGGGCTCCAGGGTGATAGCAGATGAAAACTGAGAGGGCTGCAAGGCACCAATTCTGTTTAAGAAAGAGGGAAACTCAAAGAAAACAGGTAGCCAGCAATGAGGACCTGCCTATTCTGATGGGAAATCCTTACAAGGAGCCTCTTAAAAAATGTATCTTGTGTGGAAGACATGTAGATTCTAAGAATGTACGGGTTTTGTCCCAGTTTATTTCTTCATTTACTGGATGCATTTATGGAAGGCACATAACAAGCTTTGTGAGAAAAAACAGAAAGAAACCACAAAAGCAATTAAGAGAGCTCAGATAATGAGGTTTATGCCAGGTACATACAAGGATCCTGCATATCTCAAAGACCCTAAAGTTTGTAACATCAAGTATCAGGAGTAAATTATATGTTTTATCATCAATAAACATATTTTATAATAAAAAAGGGGGGAGATAAAAAGAAAAGAAGCAAAGAACAAGTACAGCAAAGAGAATGGTACATACTAATCCAACTATATACATAATCGCTTTAAATGAATGATCTAAACATATCAATTAAAAGACAGAGACCTGGGGCACCTGGGTGGTTCAGTCAGTTAAGCATGTGCCTTCAGCTCAGGTCATGATCCCAGGGTCCTGGGATCGAACCCCATATCGGGGTCTCTGCTCCGCAGCACATCTGCTTCTCCCTCTCCTTCTGCCCCTCCCTCCCTTCCCCTCCACTTTGCTCATGCTCTCTCTCTCTCTCATGCTCTCTCTCAAATAAATAAATAAATCTTAAAAAAAAAAAAGGTCAAAATACATGAGGAAAACCTGAAAGAACTTCAAGGAGGACAGACAAATCCACAGTTTAGTTGGAGTTTTTAGACTCATCTTTCATTAACTGACAGAAGAGCAGGCAGAAAAGCAGTATGAAAACAGCTGAAAGGAACATCACCACCAATCAACTGGATCAAATTAATCAATAGGATACTTATCCAACAGCAGAATATACATTCTTCCCAAGCTCACATGGAACATTCACCAAGATAAATTGCATTCTAGTTCACAGAATACATCTTTAACATTTTTAAAGAATAGAAATCAGGCAGAATATGTTCTCAGACCATAACAGAGTTAAACCAGATATCAATAAGCAGGAGGATGGCTGGAAAAATTCCAAACTTCTTAGGGTCAAAGAAGAAGTCTCAAGAGAAACTTTAAAATATTTTGAACTAAATGAAATTAGAATGAAAACACTTATGAAAATTTGTGGGTGCGACAAAAATGGTTAGGGGGGAATGTATAGCATTGAATACATATTTTAGAAAAGAGGAAAGGGCGCCTGGGTGGCTCAGATGGTTAAGCGTCTGCCTTCAGCTCAGGTCATGATCCCAGGGTCCTGGGATCGAGTCCCACATCGGGCTCCCTGCTCCTTGGGAGCCTGCTTCTCCCTCTGCTTCTCTCTCTCTCTCTCTCCCTCTGTCTCTCATGAATAAATAAAAATCTTTAAAAAGAAAAAAAAAGAAAAGAGGAAAGATATAAAGTCAACTATCTTAACTAATAAGCTTCTGCCTTCAGAAGCTAGAGGAAGAAGAGCAATTTAAGCTTAAAACAAGCAGAAGAAAAGCAATAACAAAAATTAGAGCAGAAATCAATGAAGTTGAAATCAATGGAGAAAATCAATGAAACCAAAAACTGGTGCTTTGAAATGATTACTAAAACTGATAAGCTTCTAGGTAAATTAAGGAAAAAAGAGAGAAGATATAAATTACTAATATCATAAATGGAAGAGGGATCACTATTGATACTATGAACAAAAGAATAATAAAGGAATATTATGAATACATTATACCCACATATTTGATAACTTAAATAAAATGGACCAATTCCTTAAAAGACACAAATTACCGAGATTCACACAAGAAAAACAAAATAATTTGAATAGGCCTGCATCTATTAAAGAAACTGAATCAATAATTAGTAGCCTTCAAAAAAAAGAAAGCACCAGGCCCAGATGGTTTCAATGGTGAATTCTACTATTAAAGTTAATTATGATACCAATTTTTTACAATTTCATCTAGCCACTAGAAGCAGCGGGAACATATCCTAACTCATTCTATGAGCCCAGTAATACACTAATACCAAAATCAGATAAAGGCATTACAAAAAAGGAAAATTACAGATCAATATATCTCATTACACTGAATGCAAAAATCCTCGACAAAATATTAGCAAATTGAATTCAACAATGTATAAAAATAATTATACACTACAACTGAATGGGACTTACTCCAGGTATTCAAGACTGGTTCATCATTCAAAAGTCAATTAATATCATCCATGACATCAACAGACAACAGAAGAAAAATTATGTGAGCATATCAATTACATGGAAAAACCAATGGCAAAATCCAACACCCATTCATGTCAAAAACTCTCAGCAAACCAGGAATAAGGGGAACTTTCTCAACTAGAAAAAGAACATCTACAAAAAACCTACATCTAACATCATACTTAATGGTGAGAAGCTAAGGATGGGAACAAAGCAAGGATACCGCCTCTAACCAGGCCTATTCAGTATCGTAACGGAAGTCCTAGCTAGTAAAACAGTACAAGAAAAGGAAATAAAATATACACAGGTTAAGAAGGAAAAATGAAACTGTCTTTGTTCTCAGACACATGATTTATATAGAAAACTTCCAAAGACTTGACCAAAAAATATTTAAAACCTAGAACTAGTAAGTGATTACAACAGGCTACAGGATACAAGGTTCACATATAAACGTCAACTGGTTTCTAATATACCAGCAATAAACAATTGGAATTTCAAGTTAAAAACGCAATACCATTTACATTAGTGCCCCCTCTCCCCCACAAAAAAAGAAATACTTAGGTTTAAATCTAACAAAACAGGCACAGAATCTATATGAAGAAAGTTACAAAACTATGATGAATGAAATCAAAGATCTAAATAAATGAAGAGATATTCTCTGTCTCTTATCTTCTCTGATAAGAAGAATCAATATTGTTAAGATGTCGATTCTTCCCACTCTGATCGATAGACTCAATGCAATCATAAGCCCAGTAAGTACTTTGTGGATATTGACGAACTAACTCTCAAGTTTATATGGACAGGAAAAAGGAAAGGCCTAGAATAGCTGACACAATAGTGAAGAACAACAAAATTGGAGGACTGGCACAACCTGACCTAAAGACTTACTGTAAGGCTACAATAATCAAGACAACATGGTATTGGTGAAAGAAAAGAAAAACAGACCAATAGAACAGAATACAGAGCCCAGAAATTGACCCACACAAATGTATTCAACTGATCTTTGACAAAGGAGCAAAGGCAATTCAGTGCAGAAAAGGTAATCTTCAACTAATATGCTGGAACAATTGGACATTCATGGCATAAATTTTGCATACGGAATCTAAACATACAACTTATACTTTTC